TTTTAATTCTCTCCCTGCTATTTTCCTACTTTTCTCCAGGGTTTCTCTGTTTGCCTTCTGCATCTGTGCATCACTATCATATGTCCTTTGTCTCTTCACATAAGAAACTCCAAACAAGAAAGGGAATTAAAGTATACACATGAAAATTTCACAGTGTATGTATCTGAAATGCTCTTATATTGTGCAAGGAAAAATATAAAATCTTTATTACTTCTCACCAATCCTGTTTATTCAGCCGTGGTAAAATATAGGCCACAGCATAATATTATGACCCTTTCTCCCTCTCCCTGTTTCTCCTCTCCTGAACAAGGCAGCTAGCAATTTGTGAACTCAGTATTTGCCAGCTATATGGGACAGTAATGAAATAGTAGAGTATTTCTTATGTATTCTAGCATAAGGCCCACCCTTTATATTTAAATATATTGAATATCATCCCCAGAAACCCACACAAAGAAATGATCCTGTTAATGTCTGTTTCCTAAGAAAATGCAAACCTACTTGGCCTTGTTACTTAGTTATCAAATGTTAGCCAATTGTGTGCTTTACTGGTTACTATATCAATTTACATTTTAACAATAAGCAGATGGACACAAGGTTAAGTGTAAGAAACCCTCTGCTCACAAACTCCTCAGTTCTGCTTGGGTCTGCCTAAATGGACTGGGAATGATAACTGAACATTCTGGGTTCAACTATTCCTTATTAAGAATTGTATACTCTTGTTAACAAGAGTTCACTGAAAAAGTAGCAATATAGTTTAACAAAAATGTGAGTACAGCAAAATATTTTCTGTCCCTCAGGATCTTCTGGGATGATCTGTTAGAATCCTCCAATAGAAATTCCTTCTACACACCACACACACGCTCAACTCTTGCTCATTCTCCTCCCTTCTTCCCTCTTCCTGTTAAGAACTTGGAGATGGAATCTGGACAGTTTAGTAAGAGATCACTACCTTTTTCCCACCTATTATAGCTATTACTATTCCTCCTCTTTCCCATCTGCTTGATCTCATAAGCCCCAGGAGTCTGCAGCTAGGGAAGGACAAAAATAAGTAACAAAACTTGGCATCTTTTTTCATCAAATATTCAATTTATTATGTTCAATGGAAGTACACAAGGGGGAAAAACTGCCCATCACCATTTTTACAATGTTTAAAATGCATTCATTCATTCAACTGGCACTAAATTTTAAGAATAAAAGAAATACTTGAGCACTTGGGGTGTAGCTCAGTAACAAAGTGCTTACTAGCATGGGAAATGCCCTGGGTTTGATACAGAGAGAGAGAGAGAGAGAGAGACACACACACACACACACACACACACACACACACACACACACACACACTCTGTATGATTTACTCCTAAAATCTCCTGAAGGGTATTCTCTTGCAACAGATATGGCTTCCTCTTAACTGGCTATAATGTATGTTTTGTTTTTTATTCATCATCAGGTAGTTTTATTATTATTATTTATTATTAATTCAGTGAAGTTCTCTAATCTTGGGGTGGGGGTAGGGGGACGGGAGTTACTGAGGATTGAACCAAAGAGTACTTTACCACTGATCTACACTATCAACCCTTTTATTTTAAGACAGGATCTCAATAAGTTGCTCAGTCTGGGCTTGAACTTGTGATCCCCTATCTCAACCTCCTGAGTTGCTGGGATTACAGGCAGGTACAAATGTGCCTAGCTTCTGCTCTTAATCTGAAAAATAAATAAGTTAAAAATTTTCCATTTTCAAAATATAAAATCAAAAACTAAACTGTAACTTTTTGTAAGCTCATTAATTTTGGCCTATGAGTCGACCATTCTAGACAGAAGTACTTAATTCATCCCCTACAAAATAATGCTCTATGGACTTCCAGTTTTATTAAAGCAAAAAACAAATTTCAAGGTGGTATTGAGATTTTCTAGGATAGTATATTTTCTAATTTAGCCCCCAAAACAAACTCCAAAATGCCATTATAATTTCACTTGAAATCATATTGTTATTTTTCAATGAAGGAGGTCTCAGAGTCTACAAAAATAAATTAGGTTTAGTTTTTATTTTGCTTCTCTCATTTTACAAAATTGCTTAAACAAAAATAATTCAACTAATGCACTTCTCACAAGACTAGCAATTTCCTCTTAGGTTAAAAATACGAGATGAAAACATTAGTAAAACCATCACATCGCAGCTTCCATACATATTACATTTTGTATTTAGAAGTGTTGTTTCTCTGCTTGGTTCCCTGAAATATCAAAAGATCATTCTGCATTGCAAAAACAAAATCAGCTGTGCTGAATGATGACTTTTGGTTTCACATAGCCAAGGAGCTTCTCCTCTCCTTTAAAAAAAAAAAAAAAAAAGCCAGGTTTCTTTACCCTTTTCTCCAATAGATACACAGAAACACTGAAAATCCTAAACACCTTTAAGATACAGAGGTTACCATGCCTAAAACTACTAATTTTAAGTTTTAAAAACAGTCAGCCAGGCATGACAACACACACTTGAAATCTCAGCAACTCAGGAGGCTGAGGCAGGAGGATTGCAAGCTCAAAGACAACCTGGGCAACTTAAGGAGACCCTGCCTCCAAAATTAAAAACACAGGCTGGGGTTGTAGCTCAGTGGCAGAGCACTTGCTCTAAGACAGTTGAGGCTGTGGGTTCAATCCTCAACACATCAAAAGAAAAGAAAAGAAAAGAAAAGGAACAAAAAATAAAGGTTAATTTCTTTAAAAATTTTTTAAAAATAAAAAAGGTTGAGGCATACATCAGTAGTAAAGTGCTCCCTGAATTCAATCCCTAGTATCATAATAAATAACTAAGTAATAAGAAGAAAGTAAGAATAGAAAACTTTAAGAGTCAGTGCAAAGACTAATAAATCTCTATAACATGATCACTTAGCTCACTAACTAGCTAAGAATTGAAGAGTGTGAGTAAATGCTTATGATACTGTGAGGTATGACAATACCAAGCAGGACATAGTGTTATGACATAAGTTTTTTAAAGAAACTTCAGATTCTTATTTTTCAAGTTCTTTCAAAAAAGCCAAGTGATCTAACTAATCAATATAGTATGACTTTAACAAAATGGAGGAATAAAAGGTATTTTCTGTTTTTAACATACTTATATTAATAACAACTTCTGTGCTTACAAATGTTAGACTGATCCATAAGCTACATTTATCAGCATGTCACAATCACCTAAAATACCTTTAAGAACCTCCAAAATAATAAATAATAAAACAATAAAGTAAGCTCCACCAGAACTGCTTATGAAGTTATCAGCACAGTGGCTGATTTTCTAAACTTTAAAGTCAGGACCAAATGTGTCCTGGCTTTCCTTCAAGTAATCACAAGAGCCTAAACAAGTAAATAAAATCACCAAAATATATTAGAATATTTTATCTTTTAACTTTACCCATTCCTAGTTCATGTCTCAGTAATATTCATCCATTCTGTCGCCCCCTCAATTTACCAAAAGAGAACGTGTGATACTACAGAAGGCTAACATGATCATTGCTGCCATCTCATTAAGTACATTCTTCCTAGCATCAAACTCTAACTCCACGGCTGCCACCTGGACTGTTCACTACTCAACTCCACTTTTTCCCCTCTCACCACCACCATTTTAATGGTAGAATATTCACAAGGCTGAAAAATGTTTTTCATCTCAGCAAACAGAATACTTAAAATCAGATCGTTGTCCACAAATCAGAAGTTAGAAGCCACAAAAAAATAATCAAGTAACTAAACTTTTCTATTTTCAGTGTCCATAGAAAGCAGTAACATCTAATTATGCTAATAAATCTCTATAACATGATCACTTTGCCATCAAATCTTCTCCTTCATAGACTAGTATACTTTAATTAAATACATTTTGCTGTGGTAGGTCCTTCAACTCCTATTTTTTCCCAGGGGTTTTCCTGCATCATTCTCTAATCATCAAATTATTTCTCCATAACATTTTCCTTAATTTTAAATCTATGAACAAAAAAAGATAACCATGAAAAATTACCATAGAAGAGATATATCAATACACCTTAAATACAAAACATCAACATTAAGTATAAACTGCTGGATAACCAAGAAAAAGATAAGCATCTCTGGTATGACCAAAAACCTCACATTAAAACATTATGTACTATACATGATTTTGGTAAACAGAAGCATACACAGTATTTACATATTGAAATAGAGAACTGTAGACTCATTTCTGACTTTAGATAAAAATATCTTAACTCTGTTTATAAGGCAAAATAGTTATTTTAATGAAATATCTCCTTACAGGTATAATCATATGATTGACAGGTAAAATAATTGCTTTAAAAATACTTCTGAGTCATTTTGTCCTTACCTGCAGGCATGAACCATTACTGCATGCAGTGACTGTTCCATTTCCTAGCACAGACTTGAAGAAGCATCATATCTCTCTTTCAGAATGTGACTAATCTGTGGGTTTGCAATTCCTAAGCTATTTACAAATGGCACTCCCTTTCCACATAAGAAAATATTTGTTACAACCAAAAATCAAGTATTTTTAATCTGCATCTCTTACAAATAACCTTGGTAATTCTGTACAGCAACAACCTCAAAATACAGGAAGAAAATCCAACAGTAGTATTTCCTTAAAGAAAGCAAGATTTTTGTTTGTTAGATTATTTTGTAAAGCCTTCACAGCTGTCACACATGAACCAGCAGTCCGCCGTGTTATGGTGTGCATGCTGCAGCTGATTAGGCTTCACTATTTAAAAAAAAAAAAAAAAATTCAATTAACCTTCGCAAAAGCAGAACCGCTTCCCCAAATACACATCTTCAATACAGCACAATACCAGCATGCAGTACAATACATTATGTAGCAAACTTGACAAGAAAAAAAATGTCCTGTTTGTTTCTTAGTAAGGCTACACCATTAATTGTTCATGCAAGAGATGTAGCTGTACCTTTCTGAAGAGGACGACTTCTCAGAGTTAACTGACATCAGCAGCTCAATCTTCTGCTTGATTTCTGGAAAAATCAGAAAATATTCACAACCAAGATTGCCTGCCCTTGCTTCCAAGCTTTATATCAAGAGATTTTTCTTCTCTAATCCCTTTTGTTCCGAATGAGGCCACAAGATTCACAGTACTTCTGTTAGGACTGGGATTCAATGGTGCTATAAAGGGAAAAAGCTCCAGAGGCATCAGGCCTTGCTAAACTATGCACATGACTGTTTATGAAAGCAGGAAGTACCATTTCTTTTAAGCAGAGGGGTGTTTTCTTTTTTAAGGTAGAACTTACATGGTTCTAAAAGATGATTTTAAATTTAGCAAATTATAATAAAAACAAAAAATGCTAACATCAGAATTTAACATTCTGGATAATTTGAGAAGCATGGATAATAATGTTTCTGACTATAGTGAACAAATATGCAACCCTTGGCTGCTTCTATTTCACTAGCCCTAAAAAATATGGCTCAGTGAATCATTTTTGTCACTTAAGAATGAAATATTAAAACAGAATTCCAATGTAACAATTAAAAATGCTCAACCTTTGTTAAAATTTCTTGGTTTTCATTAAAGATATATCTAATATCTAGTCCCCAGCTCCTTTAGAAAAAGACTTGTTATTTTACACCTTAATTTTCCCCTCCTCCTTCACAGTACAGTACAAGTGAACAGCAACACCCAGTTACCGAGCAGAGATAACATTCTTGTCCTTTTAGGAAAGGACTGGCAATGCCACCTACAACAGAAAAGTAAGCACCAGTTCAATTTAATTAAAAGATAATTGCTCATACTGATTTGGAAAGGAGATAACAGATTAAAAGGGAAGAGTGAAAATAAAGAGGGAGAATAAAGAGATGAGGAAAGAAAATGCTTCCTTTAAAATACCAACAACTGATCTAGTGCTCATAATTTTAAGTGAATAAAATTAACACGACCTTATTATTTTTTGTGCAAGTCTGTTTTCCTATTCCTAAAAAGTATTTCTAACTGCATTTTAAAAATTATGTTTTCATAATAAAAACTTCACATACTAAAAATAAAACACAGTGCCACTGAAATACTAAGAAACAGTCTCAGAATTTCAAAGTAGACCTCAATTATTTTTCCTTTTTTAATTTTTAGAGATAAACTAATTATGATCTTTAAAAAATGAAATCAAAGTGGAATGAGAAAATTTAAAGGAAAAAGGAATAACATGCATAAAATGCAATGGACTTGTGGAGGAATATCCTCTCGATGATATTTATAATGAGTTTTTCCAATTGTTTAAGCTTATTTTCATCCAGTGGGCATTACAGAGCTGGTAACTACTGAGACGAGAACGAAACTTACCTTGAACATGCTAAGGTGGATTACAGAGCTGTACACATGGTACCATGGTGAACATTCAGTAAAGATCCCTTCTCTGGCACTGCCCTTCTGCCCCATACTAAAAAGAACAGACTGTTTAAGCACTCCAGCTCTGCCTTGGATTTAGTCACAGGCTTTTAAAAACCATCATTTTTAAAAATATGACCTTGGGGAGATTACATAAACTCCACAAGCCTTTCTCTCCTCCTCTGTAAAATGGGGATAATTCCTACTTGAAAGGCTGCTGTGAGGATTTATTGAAAGAATCTATGAAAAGTTCAATAAGTATTGTGCTTGGCATGTGGTAAGCCCTCCTTGCCTATTATTATGCAGCGCCTATTCCCCTCACTATTTACTGAATGAGTCAATGAAGTATACAAGGTCTGGCCAATTTTAAATAACTTTCCTTAGTTTAAACTCCCCGCCCCCTTATAATCAACCTCAACATAAACCTTTTTTTAATCACTTACAGTGTTACTGTATGTGGAAATTTAATCTGTAGCTCTAGACAATTACTCTTACTTTATCAACTAGCTACTTTGAAAATAAGATTACACTTAAATCCATCTTCATTGTGACTATTTTTATTCCAAAAGGATAAACAGTTCATATTTCAGTATATTTATATAAAATTAGTGCATTTAAGATTAAAAAGCCCAAGATTAAATTACACAGCTCTAATGACATTTATGCTCATCTTGTAAACATTAAGAAGAAAAGTTCAAGCTATAAACCATTTTATGGCTAGTCACTTTGGGAACCAAAGAGAATTCTAATAATACATGAAAATGATTCCAACATTACTTCTGCCAAAGAGTCAGATTTGTTTAGAGTTCCAAAAGAATTGGAAGATTCAGGAATGTTGACAAATACTGTATCAATATCATATCCCATGAAACATATGTATTCCATCTAACTATCTATACTCTTCCTTAGTATGTTATTCCCCACATTCACTAAGAATTTCAGGGTATAGGATTTTGTAGCTCAGTGGTCCAGCGCTTGCCTACCACATGTGAGGCACTGGGTTCAATCCTCAGCACCGCATAAAAATGAATAAAATAAAGTTGTCCATTTACAATTAAAAATAAAATAAGAAAGAATTTCAGAAGTCATTTTACTGACTTCAATTCCACACAATATCCACCCAAATCCTGGGAGACTCATATCCATACTGCACTAAAGAAACTTGGCATCCTCAATCTATGGTCTTCTGAACCTCCGTATCACCTGAGTCACCCATTCCTATGGCTATATTTAGCACACCCTCTTACACTTACTACAAATATTTTCCTCCAATTAGTTATTTTTCAATTTTATTAATTACTCCCAGGGTAAGATCTGGAACCCTATACTCTATATTTTTCTGCAATTAAGTCAACAAATCCTTTTCTTTATAAGTTTTCTTTATAAGTCTCCTATTAAACTTGGAAGACCTTCTCCACATCAAAAATTTTTAATGTCCTTTTTTATGATAACATTCTGCATGTATCCTTCTAGAATTTATTCTGGTCCAAGAATTGATATAGAGGTCCAGTCCACTTTCATAAGTCACATTTTAAAACCACATAGCATACCCTACCCCCACAATTTTAAAGGACTCTCTTCACGACCACTCCTTAGTTCTTCCAAAGCAGCGGTCTTACCATCTTGCAATTAACCATTAATTTAACCATCCACCATCTTCATTTATACTTTTAGACCACTTAATTTTTTTAAAAATGTTTATTCACCTAATGTTTCCATGCAACTTTCATCTGAATTCCCTCTACTATCTAACAACCACACTGCTATACTTCAAAATGCCTGCCAGTACACTGATCAGCTCCTTCTGTATCTCGCCATCTTTAATCAATTCTTTACCACTCCCCTGATGATGCCATTCCTACTCTCACCTAAAGATCACACTTTCTTGCCAGGTACAGTGGTGCACACCTATAATCAACTTGGGAGCCCTACGGCAAAGAGGCTCCCAAGTTCAAGGCCAGCCCCAGCAACTCAACAAGACTCTATTCTAAAAAAAAAAAAAGGGGGGGGCTAGGGAATAGCTCAGTAGTAAAGTGCCTCTGGGTTCAACCCCAGCACTATCTCCTCCTTCCCCCCCCCCGCCCCCACCAGAAATAAAACAAAACAAAAAAAACAGTAATTGACCACAAAAAAATAAGCAAGTGATTCCTGTGTATGTTGAATAAGCATTTTAATTATGTTAATCTGATTTAGTTATAGAATTTTGATTTCAATTTCAAGATAACATTATAGGAAATTATTTTTAATTGGAAAAAATTATAAATTTTATTTTTTCTTTTCCCTGAGACAGGGTCTCCCTATGTTGCCCAGGCTAGCCCTGAACTCCTGGGCTCAACCAATCCTCCCGATCTTCTTGCCTCAACTTCATGAGTAGCTAGGACTACAGGTGTAAGCCACCTCACCCAGCTAGGGTTTATTCTTTTAATCCCTTTGTTTTTAGATTCTTCTCATACTCTAGGTCCTTTACATGATCATCATCTTCCACTTAGTCCTTAAATGCTGGTCATACTGGTAGGACCCTCTAAGTCATTCACCAACCCTTCTATCTACACCCTTGATTTAAAAAAAAGAAAAAAAGAAAAAAAATGACACTGACGAAGATCATACATGAACTGCTAACCCAATATACTGCTACAACCCAAAACAATGCATCCTCCAATCTCTACTAGACATTTTCTTCCAGTCACTGAATGCCTTAAACACAATGTCTACAAATGAATTCATCACTTCTCAACCTTATGTTACTCTTTATAGTTCTTTCTCTCTCTGTGTATACATATGCGTATGTGTTTGCACAGGCACACTCAAGGGATTAAACCAGGGTCTTGGCACTCTATCAATGGGCTCCACCCCCAGCCCATACCCTTTGTAGTCTTCTACTCAGTAAACTGCATCAGCCGCCACAAATTTCTGAAGAATCCCAGGCTAATCCCCTATCTTCAGGGGGATATAATTTCCACATTCTCCCTTTTTTGTATATTGAATGTTAGTAGTAGTTCCCAAATACATCAAGCTTTTTCATACCACTAAATCTTTTGTTATACAGTTTCCTCTCCCAGAAATGTCACTATCAAGTTCATCTCCCTTATATACCCAACTACTTTTCTAACCTCAACCTCAAATGCTACTTCCTCCTAAATATCTTCCCAGACAGAAGACCTATTCTGCCCCTCTATATATTGTAAATACTTGCATTACACAATTACTAAAAGATATCTGTTTTTTAACTGTTAGCTGCCTCAAGGATTGGGACTGAGTTTCCATTTCAATTCACAGAACCAGACATATCAGACACTTATGATGATCCCTTCCTAGTCTTCTTAGCCAGTTCTAGTAAATCTAATTAGTATTAAAGTTACAATCTACCTAAGCTATTTTACTTTTTCTTAAATGTACACTTCTATATATGCACAGCTACACCACATGAATTTATGAAGGAAAAAATCTGGAAAAAAAAATACAAACAACTGGAGTTAGACACATTTTTCACCTTTTTCAAAAGGTTATTGTCTCTGAGACCTAAGGCTAAATTTTCACAGACCCTAGCAATCCAAGCAAAACATTCTGCATTCTGTTAAAACATTGTTATGTATCTCCAATCGATTAAAATCATCACTACTAATCAGCTTTCTTGATTAAAACAACTAATTGGTCTGTGACACCATATTCTTACACATCACCTTATATGCCATTAAAAGAAAAACCAGTTCAAATTCCCCCATTCAATCTCTTGTACCCAACACACAGACTTTCCTATGATACCCTTCTGTTCTTATTTTCCTTCACACCTTAAGAGACACTCAAATTTCATGTGACAACAAATAGTTTAACTCTTTAGTTAATGGCTTCCAGTCTCTAATATGTAACACACTGAGGTTTAAGACTTCTGTATTAGGACTAGGAGTTTCAGAGCTGAGACAATTCCCAAGAACGCTGGCAGAAGGTGGCAAATAACCAGTAAATCCTGTCAGATGAAGTCCAATAAAGATAGCACCACAAAGGTGCTAACATCCTAGGAAAGGGAATCAGGCAATCCTGAATCTACCCAGAATTCTAAGAGTGTTGGTAGCATAAGAAACATGAATGTGGGCTGGGGCTGTAGTTCATTGGCAGAGCCTAGCACATGTGAAGCACTGGGCTCAATCCTTAGTATCACATAAAAATACACAAATCAAATAAAGGCGTGCTGTCCATTTACAACTACAAAAAACAAAGAAAGAAACCTGGGCACCGTGGACATTATATGATCCTGTATCATCTCCACCACTACACATCTAAGTGTGGCCCCTGACTTTTTATAGAATCTGAAAAAATATAGTTACTATGCAGACAGTTCTACCTGAATTCTGACAAATGTAATAAACTTCCTTTCACTTGCCAAATTCCTTATATAATCATCCACAAATTTGATTTTATTTGGAATGCACATAACAAAGGTTTTAAAATTTTAATTGCTGCTTTATATTTATGAGGAGTCATTTTGGACTACAAGGAACACATATGTAAAGGAAACTCAGATGATAGGGTAATAAAGCAAAACTATATCTATGAGTTAATGGGAAAGTGCCACAGGAAACCTCCAAACAAGAATCTTCTTCAGAAGGCAGGGAAGCTCTTAAAACTTACTTTTTTGTTACCAGGCACTTAATGGGAATTCTCTCTACCATTATGATTCACCATTCTAGGATTATAATATGACCAACTCCAATTCTATTTCTCTACTGCCTCAGGATGCAGTAGATGGCCTAGGAGTATCTTTGAAGGGCTTCCACTGAAATGCAAAAAGCCTGCTTTTGGGGCTTTTCTGACTCCCATGTCAAATCTCCAGTGCTACCTTCAGAGCCAAGATTTAACATCCTGACTCAAAACTCAAGAGACAAATAAGAGACCCTTCACAAAAAAGAAAAAATAAAGCAAGTCCTATGAGATATCTAAGAAGATTTATAATTAACTGACCAACTTCTCCAATGGTCATTCTAACCTAAAAGGGGTATCCTTGTTTTTGCAGCATTTATTAAAATCTCTGTTATGACAATACACAGAAAAGCAAAAATTGTGCAAACATAAAAATAACATTAATAAGATAATCATTCAAACAAATGTCTCTGATTATCACTAGCCTTTATCCCCACTCTTTAAAGCCATTCTTTGTCAAGTCTCTCAGGGATCAGCAAACATTCCAACAACTCAGCAAAATGCAAATCCAGAATAAAGTGAAAATTTAAAATTTGTAAATAATGTAACATTTGATGAAAGGAATAGAAAATACTAAAGTTAGGCTAGAATCCTGGGGGGAGGAGGAGGAACAAGGACAATAATGTGCTAAGTGCCTCAAGAATTGGGGGTGGGAGAGGTTAGGGGGGCACTAGGGATCAAATCCAGGGCTTTACACATGCTAGGCCAATTAGATACACCCTCAGCCCAAGAATGAAGATAATTTTTTTAAGAGAATTATAATTACTTGATTAGCAGGGATGAAAGAAGAAATAAAACCTTTACATATTTACAAAATAATCTTCATTATGACTGTATTATAACCAAAAAGATGTCCAATCATATTGTTATACAACATATCATTCTTTAATTATTATGATATAAATGCCCAAAACAATCAACACTTGATATATTCTTTATTCATTTTAACAAATCAGTGCACATTTTTCAACTACAACTTAAATTTTATTAAATAAACAATCCTGAAATTTTTATATCCTTTTTCAAAATAAATTCCCAATGTCATTCCCTTTTGTAAAAATAGCCTTTTTCCATTACCAATTTTCCTCCTGCTATAATTCCAAAACAGGATTGTATTGCTGAACATGGTAATAATGTATTTACTCTAAACTACAATGGAATGGGGATGGAGGTAAGGGAGAAGGAAAAGGAGGTAGTCTCAAACTGGTTAAGTTTCAGATTTAGGAAGCCAGGCACTGTGGCACATGCCTGTAATCCCAGTGGCTAGGGAGGCTGAGGCAGAAGGACCTTGAGTTCAAAGCCAGCTTCAACACCTTAGTGAGGCCCTAAGCAATTCAGCTAGACACCGTCTCTAAATAAAATATTAAAAAGGACTGGGGATGTGGTTCAGTGATTCAGAAGCCCTGGGCTCAATCCCTAGTCCAAAAAATAAGTTTCTGATTTAAAACTTCTATAAGGCAGCTTCCATGCCACTTATCAGAAACTTCATTTACTAGAGGAAATGTTTTTCTGTCACTTTTTAAATTGTTATCCTGAGTATAATTTATAACCCTAGAGAAATACTAGTTTAAAAATTTTGCTATTTATTTCTAAATTCTAGTCCAAAAAAAAAGTGTGACTGAAAGCCAGCAAGCCAGTGCACAGAGAAACCCTTGTTTAGATTGTCTATGCCATCCCAGACCTCACCTAAACACTATATTGGATATGTTAAAACTTTTCAATTCATCAGATAGTATTTATTACTAGTGTTTTGGTACTGTAGAATTCTGAGAACTAAATATGAAAAATACAGTAAAGTACAAAAATAGTAATGGTTCAATAAATCCCCAGTTTTATTAGCCTTACCATCATCACACTGTAAGCAATGAAATGTAATAAACTAATCCCGGAAAACTGTTACAGGTTTCTCACCACTGTAAAGTATCATTAATAGTTAATCTAGTCTCTTAACAGAACAAAGGCACTCTAACCCTACTAACTGTTGGTAAGACAAAGTAACACAAGTGAGGTGACATTCTATGCTCTACTCACTATGAGGCCAAGTTTTAAAGCTTCCTCTGCAAAACTCTCATATCATTTGCATATTTCTCATATACAAATTTTAGGAATTAAATCACAGAGAATAAAGGCAAGTACTGTTTAACTCTAATTTTGACAGTTTTTCATATTAGATTTTAATAGACAAATTAAATTACTTTGTTCTCTAATACAGTGATTCACAAAGTCACAAATTAAAATATTTTCAACTTTTGCATATAAAGGACTGTGGCGCTGGGGGATGTAGCTAAGAGATAGAGCAAGCACTTGGCACATGCAAGGGCCTGAGTTCAATATCCAACACCCCCCCACACACACACACACAAAAAAAAAAAAAAAAAAAGACTGTGAATTCAGGAAGACAATGGGTGTCTGCTTTCCAACTCCCCTGTCAAACCAAGGCCCACCTGACCATCTCAAAAAGAAACTTTCCTATGTTAAGAGGCAGCAAAATTTTGTAAGTCATAGCTGGGCACAGTGCCCCATCCCCCCATCCTAGGTATTCCTGAGGGTGAGACAGGAAGATCACAAATTAATAGGTAGCCTGAGCAATTTACCAAGATCCTGTCTCAACATAAAATAAAAAGGACTCAGTTGTAGAGCACTTGGGTAGCATTTATGAATCCCTGGGTTCAATCCCCAGGATGGGGGCAGGGGATGCATATCAAACAAGCTTGTTTGTTTTATAAAAGAGGAATGGGTCCCTAAATCACAAATCACAATATTTAAAACATAAGGAAGGAAACTAATGAGATATGGTCTTAAGATTTCCATCTCTGCATTTCCTTAGTACCAACTGGCACTGAGCTAGTTTGCTATCTTTATTTTTGGGGGGGGTGCACAAAACATGTAAGATGCTTCATTTCACTTAAACCATCAATCTTACCAAAGTCCTTTATATGAACTCATTTAATCCTTTCAACATGTAGAAACTGAATCTCTCAAAGTTGAAGAAATTTGCTCAAGACCTCAGATCAGAGCTAAACAATTCCAATTAAAACAGCATCAAAAAGAATAAAATTCTTAGGAAAAAATATAACTGTAACAGTAGTCAACATTTTGAACATGGCCCTCCCTGTTCTGAGGCCTATTTTAAGATACTAGGGGAGAGGAGTAACCCAGGGATTGGACAAGGAAAGCTTAGCCACTAGCCTATCCTATTTTTAAATTTTTATTTATTTATTCATTCATTCATTTATATTTATATATTTATTTATTTAGAGGCAGGGTCTCTCTCCTAAGTTGCTCAGGGCCTCTGAGGACAGTTTTAAATGAAACTGTTTTTCTTTTCCATCCTAGGCTGAATTATCTGTCCTTGAACACACACCCACCACAGGAAGGAGATGTCCCCAGAGTATCTAGGAAGTGACTATCTCCCAAATTAACAAGTAAATTTCAACACACTACCAGGGTGCAAACCCACCCCACCCAGTCAGGGCACACCTGGAATGCAGCCTGAAGAGATTCTTTCAAAAGCCCTCTGTTTTTCCTGATAGGCAGAATCACAGTCTCTGGAACTGGAGGCAGTTCCCTGTGCTTCTCCTTTACTAGCAAAGCAATAAACCTTCTTTTTCTTTTTTCTCAAAATTGTGTCCTTCTTATTAAATTGGCATCAAGGACAAGGATGGAGCTTTTGATATCACAACCAAGAAAGTGTAAGACTTATACACACTTAAAGATAGAAAATATTTTTGAAAGAAATTAAAGACCTAAATAAATGTTTGACAGATATCCAGTGTTGACAGATTAGAAGACTTAGTATAAAGATGTCACTATTCCCCCAAATTAATCTACAGATTGGACACAATCCTTATCAAAACCCCAACTCCTTTTTTTTTTTGCAGAAATGGACAGGCTGATCCTAAATTTGTACAGAAATACACAGGACATTGAATAATCATAACAATCTTGGAGGGGGGAAAATTGGAAGACTCCTGCTTACTGACTTCAAAACTTACTAAAAAGCTATAGAAATCAAAACATATGTGAAAATGGCCTAAGGATACTTAAATCAATGGAGTAGAATTGAAATTGCAAAAAGGAAACCTCCCAATATAGTCAACTGATTTTCACCAAGGGCATTAAGATCATTCAATGGCAAAACAACAGTCTCTTCAACAAATGGTGTGAGACAACTAGAAATTGATAAACAAAAGAATGAAGATAAATTCCTATCTCACAATCTACTAAAAAATTGAAAATGGATCAAAGATCTAAATGCAAGAGCTAAAACCATAAGCCTCTGAGGAAGAAAAGTAAGTGTAAATCTTTATGGCTTGAATTAGGTAACTTTGGATTAGATATATTTTCTTTGATATGACATGAAAAGAATAAGATATAAAAGAGCAGATTACTGAACATCATAAAAATTATAAACTTTGCATCAAAAAGATATTATTAAGAAAATTTGCAAGGTGGGAGAAAAATATTTGCAAATCATATATCTGATAAGACACCAGCATACAGACTATCAAAGAACCCTTTGATATTCTCTTAGGGCTCAACAATTTTTGAAAATGCAATTAAAAAGAAATACCAATGTCTGATTAGCACATAAAATGATGCTCTACTCATCTGTCTAAGAATGCAAAACAAAACAATGAAATACCATCAGCTTGGACACAACCAAAAAGACAATAACTAGTACTACTAGGATACAGAGAATTTAGAGCCCCGGGGCATGGCCTACAGGAATGTAATATGGTGCAACTACTTTACTTTGGAAACAGACTTGGCAGTTCTTGCAACAGTTAAAGTTATTAAATGACCCAACAATTTCACTCCTAGGTACAGAACTAAAAATGTGAATTGACTATGTTCAGACTGTTCACACACAAACTTATACATGAATGTTCATAGCAGTGTTACTCATAATAATAGAAAAGCAGGAAAATTCATATGTCCATCAACAAAAGAACAATAAACAAAATGTAGTATATCCATACACTGAAAGAACAGAGTACTGATACATGCTACCACACAGATGCACTTCAAAACATTATGCTAAGTGAGAGAAACCAGAAACACAACCCATATTATATGATTCCATGTATGCAAAATGTCCAGAACAGGGAAATAACAATAAGACAGTAAGCAAGCATACTGACTTCAAAAACTTACTACAAAGTATAGGAAACTAAAGTAAGAGGATGCCAAGGGCTGAGGAAAGGTGGGATGGGAGTTGAGTGTTATGTGCTAACACATGGAAGTTTCTTTTGAAGTAATTAAAATATTCTGGAAATACATAGTGATTTGTACAACATTGTGCATATGCTAAATGTGGCCAAGTCAGTTTAAGAATCCAAGAGTACAAGAGGTTTAGCTCCAAGGCGTAATTCCACAGCAGTGCTGCAAAGCTTGCAAGCAAGAAATCGAGACTCTTACTAGAGGAAAGGGAGTGGTGAGAGAAGGTATCTGGGCTTGGTTAGGAGTTTTTTGCCAAGTGAAGAAAAGAGGATTTAGCCCATTCCAAGCAGAAATGGCACAAGCAAAGCTATGGAGAACATACCATGTGCACCATTGTTTTGCTGGCTGGCAGGAGTGTAGCGGGTACTGGTAGGAAACGAATCCAGAGATACTGGCAGAACAGGTTTCATGCTGGTTTTTCTAGGGCAGAAATACAACCAACTATATACTCAAGACTAAATATAAGATTCAACAGGTGGATAACATTTAAAAGCACATTTTAATCTTATGTCATGCTGGGGTGGGGGTTAAACTTCATAGAGTTATTTATAAGGCTTGTCAATTCACCACAATTCATTTTGTGTCTGTACACCCACACCCTACCCCTCAGGAACTTTGCCAATTATCACTTCTCTAATTTGTAAATCCAAAAATTCTCACCTCAAGCATCAGTTGTTCCTCATTTCTATAAAAATCTTTCACAGCAACAAGCAATAGTAAAATCTACTTCCAAGGCTTTGTTGCTTTTACAAAATGAAGTACCACAGACACTTTCTTTGGCAAAGTAAATGGTCTCTTTTATTCTAATCTTACTGCCTGTAGGGTTTGCTAGCAAATACATAAACAGGAAATCTTAACTAGTTCATCATTTTTATAGCAAGAATCAACATACAGAACCTTAAATAGATCAAGAACACAAAATCTGGGCATCACGGAGCACTCCTGTAATCCCAAAGATTCAGGAGGCTAAGGCAGGAAGCCACCAAATTGCAGGCCTGCTTCAGCAACTTAGTGAGACCCCTTCTCAAAATAAAATAATTAAAAGGACCAGTGATATATTTCAGTGGTAGAGTACCCCTGAGTTCAATCCACATTATCAAGCACACACACAGAGAAAGTCTTGGCTTTGTTATATCAAAGTGACCCTGAATCAATATTCCAGAGTTCAAGTTCATCCTTATCCTCTTTTGCCATGAGTATTGAGTTGCTGGTTCCTAATCACACAAAAACAATTATTTAAAGCATGTGGTAATACCTGAAAATTGCCATTAGGATTACTAATAACTATTTGTAATAAATAAAACAATAATTAACAGCTGACATTTCAGCAGTTACAATGTGTCAGGCATGCTTCTATTTGTTTCATACATAATAACTCTCTTGATATTCCCATATCCCTGTAAGATAAATATTATCATTATCCCCGTTTTTAAAAAAATATTTATTCTTAAGTTTTAGGTGAACACAATATCTTTATTTTACATTTATATGGTGCTGAGGATCAAACCCAGTGACTCGTGCATGCTAGGTGAGCACTTTACCACTGAGCTACAATCCCAGCCCCATCCCCGTTTTACAGAGAGGAGAACTTAAACACAGAAAGGCCAAGTAACTTGCCAAGGTTCATAGAGCTACTATGGTAGAGGGGTGATCCAACTCCATGTGGTCTATTCATAGAGTTTGGGCTCTCAAGGACTATAATCTATGCATCCCTACTTTCAAATGTTAATTTTTTAATATTAAAAAGCTTAAACACACTCACATTCATATTATTTATATTATTTATAAATGCTATAACAATCCTACAAATCCAGTCCCACTCGGACCACATATTTATAATCCTGGCACCCACCTTCCTCCAAAAAAAAAATATTTTCTCTTTTCTGTCAATCTTAACCATTTATTAGACATTTATACTGTACTAAATGCTTGGAGGGAATAAAAAGTCATGAACTTAAAATGAGTCTAAAGAAAAATGTCTGCGTTTTTTTTTTTTTTCCTGCTGCATTTAATAGAGAAATTAAGGTACTGGGTAAATTTTGGATATTCTAACAAAGTCTCAAGATATATTACTTGTATTTAACTTTCCTCTTCATGTTAAGGGCCAGCTGTACTGATTCAAAGACCGGCTAAGTCACGCTCCTGGAGGAGTGGTGCCCAGAAGTCTACAGGTAATTATGATGCACAACCAGTGTGGAGAATCACTGGTTTTATACTGGTCTTTGACTTCCCATCCCCCTATCCAATTGTATTACAAATATACAATTCATTTCATAAACTATTATCCAACTATGCCAAACAATATTCTCCTTATTAAATTCAACATGGAGAATTTTAGTTTTACAAATTCCAGCAATTCCATGTCTTTCAAATCATGAAATACAGTCATGCATGTATTTCAAGAAAATTCCATAAAAATGTTCATTATAATGCTGTATGCAACAGGAAGTAATGGATAACAACTCAATGCTGAATAAACTATTCATATGTGCATTCATAATATGTGTATTCATAATACACAGCAATTGAAAAGGAGGTAGATCCATACGTACTGAGAATGATATCCAAAACATAATTATTATTAAAAAGAATACCTTAGAGAATTCAAACAATATGATATAAATTTTGTTACAGATAGGTACTTCACAAGAGCATCTATATGTATGTATGTAAATGAAAAAGATAAAGAATGTTACATTCCAAAATATTAGAAAAAGATTTTCTTGCCAGACATGTTCAAAGTCAACCTTAGAAACCTAAGAGAACCCTATCTCAAAATGAAAAATTAAAAGGGCTACGGGTAAAACAAAATTTAAAATAAGAGGGCTGGGGAAGTAGTCAGTGGCAAAGTGCCTCTGGGTTTGATCCCTAGTACCACTAAAACAAAAACCAAAAAAGAATGAGGAAAGGAGAAAAAAAAGAAAAAAAAAGTTTTTTTGTTTTTTTTTTACTTTCTAGATGGACATGGAATGAACAAATTAGGGTCAGAGGGATTTTACCTTTATCTGCACTTTAATTTCTTACAGGTATTATTTGTGAAGTTAAAAATTATTGTAAAAATAATGTCACAACCAAAGGATGCCCCACTTAAAACGTGTTCCTTTTGTTACACAGCTTTCAAATGGACACCATGCAAAAACACTGCCATCACACCACTATAAATAGTCTCCAAAATGCCAATTTTCACTTTCATAAAATTCACAGTTTAATCAAGGTCAAAGCAATGTTCTGTTGGAATTCTGAGAGTGTTATACTGAAGGAAAAAAAGGAAAAACAAATTTTTCTGAAATTGTTCTATCATTAAAAAAAGGAGTTGAGCAAGACATAGCAGCATACTCCTATAATCCCAGATACTGGGGAGGATAAGACAGGAGGATCCCAAGTTTGAGGCCAGCCTCACAACTGAGCAAGACCCTAAGTGAGTTAGCAATACCCTATCTCAAAATTTAATAAAATAAAAAGAGTTGGGTATGTATCTCAGTGGTAAAGCACCCCTGTTTTCAATCCCCAGTACAAAGGGGAGCGGGCATCAAGGAGGTTGTACCATTAGCATTTCTTAAAAGACCAGCTTTGAAAACTGAACCTAGTCTGTCCTGACCCTTCTAATTCCATCCACAGCGACTTTTACAACAAAACAAAATTGCCAAAATAGTGAATGAAAGAACCTCATCTAAAAATACAGGTATTAATTGAGCAGTTCAAAAAACCTTATATCTCTACTCTGAAATGGGTGCTTATGAAAGATATGCTAAAGAAACTTAAGAATTCTGTGGCTGAAAAACTCAACTCTCAAAGTAGAGCCAGTGCACAGATATTCTGCTAGACCATGCAGAGGAAGAAAATGTCAAGAAGCTCAAGTCATGGGCTAGGGATGTGACTCAAGCGGTAGCACGTTCACCTGGTATGCGCAGGGCGCTGGGTTCGATCCTCAGCACCACATAAAAATAAAGATGTTGTGTCCACAGAAAACTAAAAAATAAATAAATATTAAAAAATTCTCTCTCTCTCTCTTTAAAAAAAAAAAAAAAGAAGAAGAAGAAACTCAAGTTAAATGTCTCAGCACTTACCCAGGAAGAAACACCAGCCACCATAATAATAAAGATGTTGAGAGTGAAATGGCTCCAGAACATAGCATTAAGAAATTTAAAGAAACTTTTCTTCATTACTAACCCCCTTCCGAGTGCATCATTATTTTAGTAATAAAATAGTTCCTCAAAGTTCCTCAATGCATAGTTAAATATACTAGCCATGTATTTTTTTCATTCATCTCAAGTATCCAACTCTTTTCTTCTTCTATACTAGATCTGAAATTCAAAATGAGACTATTTAAATAAATAGAATGGGGAAAAGAAGGAAGACTACTAGCACAAAAAAAGGAAGGAAGACTACTAGAGAGTACTCTATTTCTTGAGTTAAAGAATGGATATACAGGGTTTATGTATACTCTATGCTTTATGTATACTCCATACCTACATATTCCATGCATTAAATTACATGAAAATTTTCACAACCAGAAAATCAGAAGACTAAAAGAAAGACCGCCCCAGGCAAAAATGGAAGGCTGCTTATCAGGTCACCTCCTATTTTTCCATTGTTCTCCCACCATGGTCTTTTATTCCCTCTTCTGAAATACAGACAAAACCTCACTCACCAAGGTTTCAAGGAACAAGTGTTTCTGGACAGCCAGGTTTACAAGAGAATTGACTACCTATCTTTAAGCCATTCTGGACTGAAACTAATATATGATTAAAAGGTTTTAAAAAGCATAATATAAGGTTTCTTAGCCAACTCATGGCCTTCCATCACAGGAACTGCTGGGATAATCTCAGGACTTCCAAAACCTGAAGGTCTGCTTCTGCATCAATGGCCCCAGGATGAGATGATACCTTTTGCCTGTCATTGTTTTTCTGTTTCATCCCATACAGTCAGACTGCTGCCTTATGTTACAATGGGTGCATCTCATTAGCTGATCTGAACCTAATGAAAACTAGTTTCCTAGATTGTGTATGTTGACTTTAAATTATCTATATCATCTGAATGTTTATGAGTCCTATACAAGTTCACACAGAGTTCTAGTCCTGCTCTCAATCAAGGGTCCCACGGTACATCTGCTTCTCTTTGAGCATTTAACAGGTTATTACCAAAGTGACTGTAATTAGCCCTACACCTGCAACTTGCATTCAGAATGGGTAAGTGTGCCAGGACTCTTTATAATATGGTGACAAAAATTATTCTTGCTTTGTTTTGTATTGAGTTCACAACAATCACACTTGAATTTGACAAGTATTACATATCTTTATCTCCATAGGAATACTATTAGGTAGATACAAATATCCCCACTTTACAGATAAGGAAGTGGGAGTTAAAAAGCAAGTAAACATATCTAAATCTCCCAGGTTAATAAGTGATA